GGCTCCTGCCCTGGGTGTCTGGGGCATAGGTCTGGGGTGACCAGGTCCCCCTTAGCCAAAGCCTTCCACCCACCTTTCACTAAGCCCTTAACCCAGCCTGGTGCTAAGCCTCTATGATAGAATTAGAAATGATTTTTATTTTCCCCTTCTCTTATTTTTCTGTAGTTTCCAAATTCTTCACAATGGCCATTCTAACTTTCAGAAACATTTTTCTCAACAAGACTTAAAAGACAGAAAATCAGACCATAGTTTCCTTTGAAAGTTCCCCTCCCATACACATAAAAATTATATATATATAATATATATAATATACATATATATATATAATATACATATATATATATAGGCACTTGGGTGGCTCAGTGGTTGAGCATCTGCCTTCAGCTCAGGGCATGATCCCAGAGTCCTGGGATCAAGTCCCGCATCAGGCTCCCCACGGGGAGCCTGCTTCTCTCTCTGCCTATGTCTCTGCCTCTCTGTGTCTAATGAGTAAATTAAAAAAAAAAAAAACTCATATATATGGGTAAAAAGGACATTATTTGGACAACTGATATTTGAACATGGACTGTGGACTAGAGAACATTGATAATGTTCAATTTCCTGATTTGAGTATCAGGAAATTGCAAGAGAGTATCAGGCTATGCAAGAGAACATCCTTATTCTTAGGAAATACATACTTCAGAACACAGAGGTAAATAAAAGGGCATGATATCTTCAGCTTATTCTCAAATCATTCAGGAAAAAAATGCATACAGGTGTGTGCCAATAGATTGATGGAGCCACAGATACCTAAATAGAAAGGATAGAAGGAGCAAAATACAAACACTGAGGTGAATTTGAGAAAAAGATACACAGGAGCTCCTTGTACTGCAGCTGTAACTTTTGTTTGAGTTTGAAATGTTATGCAAACCAGACAGGAACAGCACTGGAGAAAAGGAGGAGAAAGGCATGAGGGGTGAGAAAGTCTTCCCCACTCCACCTGCCAGCTTCGAGGCCCTGGCAGCTACCCTGGCTGGGCCAGCCAGCCCTGAGCCCGCTGGGGAAATGAGCAGTCAACATCTGGGTCCCCAGAGGGTGGCTGGGTGACTGCCGCCATGCGAAGTTCCTGGTTCCCATAAGATGCCCTGAAGAGGGCTCTCTGGGGGCCCAGATGGCTAGACACACAAAAGTGAAACAAGGTTCCCCCATGGCCTGGACAGCAAGTTCCACCTCCAGTTCTGCCCTGGTGAGCAGGATGCCAAACCGCGACCCAGGAAGCCGGCAGCCTCATGGATGTCCGTCATACACATGCCAGCTCCCGGTCCAGCCACCTCCCTGCACAGCTGTCCAGGGGCACCGGGGCTCCACTGCGGGCTTAGATGGAGGAAAGCGCTGTGTTCCAGGCCAGCAGGAGTGGAGGAAAAGCAGGGTGCTGTCCAGAAGCACAGCTCCAGAGCTCATTCAGAAACCAGGGGGAGTGTGGGGCCGAGTGGCTGCAGGTGCACGGGCTGAGGTCTCAGGCCTGGGACTGCCCATAGCAGGGGGCAGGCCAGAACGCAGTCCAAGGAGAAGCCAGCACCTTGCACAGGCTGCCACCCACAGCCCTAAGGAACACTGATGGCCAGGACTCAGAGCCAGGCCCCTGGGTTTCAAATCCTCATTCACCACTCACTATCCAATTGTGTGCCTGGGGGCAACTTGCAACACTTCTCAGGGCTTCCTCTTCCCATCACTCAAAATAGAAGTATCAACTTCACTGGGCGGCTATAAGGATTATATGGAGACATTAAGTGCCAAGCACACAGTATGTGCTGGTGATTCTTGATCTTTCCCAACCCCAGACGTCTCCCTTCCTTCCTATTTGATAAAACAGACACTGGTTAATGGTACTTGATAGACAGATAAGAAGATACAGAAGAAAAGAACACTTCCCAGCCTTAAGATAGGAAGATAACAGTTATAACAATGATGAAGCAACAGTAAGAGTGGGGAAGAGTGGGTCTGCTCTCTTGCCTTCCCACTTCTGCCCCAGGTCAGGTACCCACCACCCCTACCCCCATTGCCACCTCCAGGAAGGGATGAAATAAAGTGGAAAACAACACAGAGGTGGCCTAAGTGTTTGCTTGGCTTTGGTTTCTAAAGCCAAAGCCCTCAAGGTAATTTAGACAAAATGTGTGGGGGTCAGGATGACTATGACGAGGGTAAATAAACCCCCCCCGCAAACACACACACACACACAATTTTCTTATTCATATACATGCATGCATACTATCAAGTGCTAAGAATGGAGTAAGCTATCAGCTCAGCTTTCCAGAGGATAAGTGGATAAACCCAAAGTGTATGGGTCTGAGATCTAAAGGAACCTGATCCCCTACATACCCAAGGAGGTCCCTGGTCCCAAAGAGTTTCCAACTTCAAGGTCACGAAGGCAGTCAGGATCAATATGGCCCCAGAGACTGCGGTTCCTCCTCCATGCCTCCCTTCCCCATTGTGGCACAAAGGCCACAGAATGACCTCCATGAACTCAACTGTAAAAGGTCAGTGGTAAAGAGGTCTAAAGGGGACAATGGTACAGGAACCAGAGTCAAATCCACAGACCCTGGACCTGGGTCAGCAGATGTCTCAGAGGCTCACTGTCCCAACACCTTGGCACTATATCCACCCACCACAATCTAGACACAATTCCATTTTAAGCCCTTGGCTTAAAGTTAACAAAACTAACTTGTTAGGAGAATTATTTTTCTCCACACTTAACTGAGTTTTCTTTCCAGTATAATGGTTAACATTTCTTTTAAGCACTTGGTATGTGCCAGAAGCTGTGTCAAGTACATAACATAGACTACCCCATTTAAATCCTCTCAATCCCATAAGGTAAGAGAAGCCGATTATTATGCAAACAATATGGAAAGGGATTTAAATGTGAGAAATACGTGAGGAAAGGCACTTATCCTGTCAGCAGACCCTACTTGGAGACCTACCCCTTTCTGCATGAGGTGCTCATGGCATCTCTTATGACCCCACAGTGCATATGCAAGGAGAACTAAGGCTGGCCACACAGCAGAGGCCACTCCTCTGCAGCCCAGAGTCAGCACTGCCAGCTGGTCGCTACAATGAAGATTCTGCAATACACGGAGCACAGGATGTAGGACCCACTCCCAAACAAACGGGAAAATAGATGGTTGTTCTCACAGTCAAGAACGTTATCTGAAAATTATGGAGAAAATACTATAGCAGAAATACAGGACGTTAAAGAAACAAAACTGCCCGTTTCTTCTGTGCTTCTAGAAAAGAGAAGAAAAAGCAGATGATCTACTCAGGAGAGAGGAAGAGAAGATATAGAAATATGCACAGCCCGGGACACCACGTGGGTGGCTCAGCGGTTGAGCATCTGCCTTTGGCTCAGGTTGTGATCCCAGGGTCCTGGGATCAAGTCCCACATCAGGGTCCCTACAGGGAGCCTGCTTCTCTGCCTGTGTCTCTGCCTCTGTGTGTCTCTCATGAATAAATAAATAAAATCTGAAAGAAAGAGAAAGAAAGAAAGAAAGAAAGAAAGAAAGAAAGAAAGAAAGAAAGAAAGAAAGAAAAGAAAAGAAGAAAAGAAAAGAAAAGAAAAGAAAAGAAAAGAAAAGAAAAGAAAAGAAAAGAAAAGAAAAGAAAAGAAAAGAAAAGGTGCACAGCCCAAGCAAGCTGTGGGACATTCTTTCTTCCAGCTTCGGATAGGTCCACCTGGCAACAGCCTTTGAAAGCTTCCCCGAACCTGATCTCGGTTGCCATAATCAGGATAGTAGACTGCTAACAGAAAGAACTTACTTCATGAAAGAAACCTAAATGTATTGATTTGGTACCTTTATTCATCCAAAGAATACTATGGAATTCATAGTTCGTGAGCTTCATTATTGTGAGGCCAAGAGGGAAGGCTTCCTCCACCTATGGATGGAGCAAGTCTATGGAGTTGAGAAAGTCTAAATGCCTTTCTGGGAGCTACACACAGAGTTGGAAAGCCAGGACTTCAGAACCCTTCCGTGGTGCTGTTCCCAGCATTCATACTACTTGTTGTCAGCTCCCCTGAGCCACCTCCTTCATCTCCGAGCACATCAGTTCAGGCTGTACTGAAGTTGTAAATGCCTTTAACCACACACAGCTCTAACTCGTTTATGCCGTTTGTTCACCAAACGTACCATCTGGCAGTCCGAAACTTTACTGACAATCAAGAGAGGGAAAAAGCCAAATGAAAGACATTGGGCATGGCAGGATGGGTCAATGCTATACCAGAATCTATCCCAATGTTCAGAAATGTCTTTCCTACAACCTGTGCTCCCCTAGAAGGGACAAATCCTGACCAGTGGGTAAGGTAACCCAGCTTCACCCAGAGTACTGCCAATGCCACGTATCTGAAGGCATGACTTTAGAGTGGAATGAACATACTTAGCAGTCCACCAGATTGTTTTGCCATTTTGTTGCCCATTCTTCTAACTCACAGGCAGTAAATGCACTAAACCTCCTATGGAAAACTCAGGTGCAGTTTGAACAATTGCAGGGGAGTTATTTTCAAAGCTGCTTTGCTGCTTTGGAGTTGGCGGGAGTGAATTATGGAGAAAGAGGAAAAGAAGCCTCTCAAGTTTACTACAAGATTGTTCATCTCAAGTTTACTACAAGACTGTAAATCTGCCATGAGAGATGGTACTCCTCTATTCTGTGGATGGAAGAGACCTAAAATCCTTGTGGTAGATAGAACCTTGGCGTGGGATCCAATGCCAGTGACCTAAGGCACAAGAAACACCTGGAAGGCAGGTGCCCTGAAGGCCCAAGGATGAAAAAGAAGGCACACTCCAGGTGGCAGAGGGTCCTCCTTCTGGCACTAGGACAAACCCACAGCCAACTTACCCACTGGAGGGTGGCAGGGGAGCACAGGGAGGCTAGCACCAAGAGATCCCCATGTTCGGTGTAAGGAAGCAAGAAGGCTAGGTGAAAAGGAAGGAAGCCACCACCCTGGGGCAGGTGGCTACAAAGCAGTCATGTACCTGAGAAGAGGCCCTGAGAGCAGATCTAGTTCAGCCCTGTCCGTTGAGGATGGAAATGCCTAAAAAAAAAAAAAAAAAAAAAAAAAAAAAAAAAAAAGTCAGTTGTGACTTTTTAAAAAGTTCTTCACGCTCATTCCTCTACTTTCCCCATCTCGTTAATATAATATGGCAGCTCTATTCCTTGGAATCATATTTGACCTCCTTCATATCTCACATAGGCTCCACTGGCCAAGCCTGTTGAGTCTCTCTTTAAAATCTACAGATGGAATAAGTAGGTAAGGTGGAGCAGAACTCAACCACCTCACATTTCTATCATTTCCATCCCAGTCTAAGCTGCCATCACCTCTGAAGGAAATGACATATGGTCACTCTCTCTTGTTTTCAATTACCTGAAGCTGGATTTTATTCCAAACTTAAGTTACAAGTCTGAACTGGTCTCCCTGCTTCTATTACTACCCACTCCCCCTACCCTCCATCTCTTCTCCATGGAGCATTTAAAGTAATCCTGTGATGGTTCCCCACCTCATCCAAAGTAAAAGCCAAGTCCTCATGGTCCATCCACAGCCTCTGCCCTCAAGTGGAACAGGGCAGTAGTAGAGAGTCCCCAGGTCTATAGAAAAACACTAGGGTCCCATCCACAGGTCCTTCCTCAAGTGGAACAGGGCAGTAGTAGAGAGTCCCCAGGTCTATAGAAAAACACTAGGGTCCCATCCACAGGTCCTGCTTGAAATGAGGACCAAGAACCAGGTGGAATGATAAACACCTACAAGATGCCTCTGCATTAGAGGAAAATGTTTCTCTCCAGTACTTATCCCTGTCTCAAATTCCTCCCTAGGATTAATAAACCAATACCTCCAAACACATAGTTAATAATGAAAAGGGATTAATCCAATTAGACATAATGCTGGGCCCTCCAAGTCTCCGTAGAAAAGAAACTCCAGAGTGGAACAACCAATAAACACGTATTTATACCAAATATAATTAACATGTCTTAGAATTCAAGCTCCCCGAGGTCAGCAATCTTGTCTTCCAAGCCTTTTCCTCTAAAGCAAATAATTATATGCATAAGAGCACCCATGTGACTCAAATCCAGATTCAAACAACTGCGTACATTTCTGATCTCTATTAAGTCTTGCCCTGTTTGTTTAGTCAGAACTCCTCTGACTCTCTTCCAATTCATCTATAATGATTAAACATGACCGTAATATGCTAAACCTTTCAAAACTATTCAAACCATTGTTGACTTCGTCCCCTCACTTCTATTCTGATTGTGTGACTTAAGTAAGACCTTTTGTTTTAATGACAGAAGGGTGTGTTCATATAAAAATAAGAATAATTTCCACTGAGACCAACTAAAAATATCAAGGGAATAAATGTATCATGGTTTCCTATTATCTGAACCAAGCATAAAGGGCAAGACATGTTACTGTACCTCCCAAATAAATTATAACCCAAATTGAAGACAATTAGAAAATCCAGCCATACCCCAACACACACAGTTCTGCTGGTCAAATTCTAAAGGGCACACGTGTAGGAAAATACACCAGGGAATGAAATCCCAACCAACCCTCTCCCCCTAGAACTAAATCTGGAGTAAAACACAACTCTGGGTTTCTTCTGTAGGGCGAGCCCCACCGCGTGTATTGGGAGGTTTAGTTTTCCTCCTGAAGGCACATGTCTCTCTACTACCCTAATCGTAAAGCCAAACGCCACTGCTATCTGGTTCCCACACCCACTGAAAAGGGGAAGGAGCTACAACAGCACGCTGTAGCAGCACTACGCGCAAGGCTGCTCTGCGCACGCAGGTTCGGAAGGCAGCCAGACCTGCCCGGTCCACGAGTTTTGCACCACGCAGAAAGGAGCACGCCGGGGACCGGTCGCCCTGATTTAAGCCGGAAGAGCTTCCTCTCGCTCCAAACCATCTGGAAAGCTTGAAGAGCGCAGCCTTCCCAGGTCAAATCGGGTCACAAGGAAGCCCACCTGGGGGGGGGGGGGCTTCCCCGAAATACCCCGGGAAACTCAGACAAGAGGCGTGGGCGGGCCGGGGCGCGACACCGGCCCCAGGGAGGAGAGGTGGGCGCCGCGGTCCCCGGGCCGGCCACCTGCCGCGGGACCACCCCCGCGGGCGCAGGGCGGGCTCCCGCCGCGGCGATGACACATCGCGGACCTCGTGGCGGGGCGGGGTGCCGCGCTCCGCGCCATGTAAGGGCAGGCCTCCGGACGCCGCCCGGCCTGGCCCGCGGGCCCGCGGCCGCTCGCGCCCCCCGCCCGCCCCGACCACCCCGGGGGGCCCGGCGGGGGTCGCCGGCAGGCGCGCGCGGCCGGCATCACGGCGGCGCCGGGTCGTCCACGTTCCCTCTCTCGGTGTTGCATCATGCACCACGCCGCGCCTTCAGGGAACCAAAATGGACTCCGGTGGCGGAGGCAGCCGCATGGGCACCGGCCCCGGCCCCGGCCCCGCGCGCGCAGCCCCGCGCCCGCCCTGCCCTCGCCCGCCCCGGGGGAGGCCAGCGCCCCGCCGCCCGCCCCTCGCCGCTGCCCGCGCCGCCCTCCCGCGGCCGCACGCGGCGCCGGGGCCCCTCCAAGGTGACCCGGACCCGGGCGGCTGCCCTGGCGCCGGCGGCGGCCGGGCACTCACCGAGCCGGCGGGCGCTGGCAGGATGCGGGCTCGTCCGCCGAGGGACTCAGGCACGCGCGGCCGCAGGGACGGCCGCCGGGCGGAGGCGCGGCGCGCAGGGAGCGGGGGCTGCGGTCCGGGCTGCCGGCTGGCCTCGCGCCCGCCCCGCCCCGCCGCTGACTGGCGGCTCACACCTGCCCGCGCCGACTGAATGGAGCGTGGAGGGCGCGCGGGCTCCGGCGCCGGGTTTCATCAGCCGCGCGCCCGCCCCCCGGCCCGGCCCCGGCGCCCGCTCGCGCACGTCACCACCCCCGCACCAATGGGAGCGCGGCGCGGCGGCGGCGGCGGCAGGCCCGGGGCGAGGCCGGGGCGGGGCCCCGCGCGGGGACTCGGGGTTCCCCAGGCGGGCGGGCCCGCGGTGCCTCCCCGCGCCTTCGCCGCCGCCCCGCCCGCTTGTTGCCATTTTTCCGCCAATCGGAGGCGGCGGCGCGACCGCATCCTCCGGTCCCGGGACCGCGGAACAGCGCGCGCGGGGCGAGAGCCGCAGGCTGGGCGCTGCTCCCCGGGCGGCGGGCCCCGGCCGGCCGACTGACTGCCCGCTCGCCGCCGGGGTCCCGTCGCCAGAAATAAAACACCCGCGAGGCACCTCAAGGGTTGGGGTTTTGTTTTTGTTTTTTTCTTCGTTTGTAAGTAAATCTTCCCTTTTTTGCCACTGAATGATTTTTATTATTGCTATTCCTTAGTCTTTAATAAATCCCTTATTCTTGCGCCTTGTCAGGAAGGGCCCCGAAGCCGGACCCCGCTGTGTGGCGAGCACACCCCGGGGCTGGCCGCTCACAGCGGCTTCCAGAGGCGCCCTCCCCTGCGGGGCCGGAACCTCAGGACCGAACCCCGCGGCGCGCGCCTCCGTGACGTCTCTCTTTGCTGCAAAAACCCACACAGAGAACCACAACCTGAAGAGACCCAGTAATCTGCGACACGGGCGACACGGAGACGTGAGCGGGTCATGCATTAGTCCTGTCAGCCTCCCTCTGACTTTGCTTAAACACACGCACACACACGCACACACACACACACGCACGCACACACACACGCACGCTAAAGTGATAGTACAGTGTTGGGGCCTTTGAATCCTTTCCACACCTTCAAAACTCCCCCCACTCCCCAGTCAGTAATGGGGGCTCATAGTCACCCACTGGACAGGAAACCGTCTTGGAATTACACTAGCAGTTTATAAGGCATATAACTGCATGGTGTTAGCTTCAGAAGGGTTTTAACGGACTCAGAAATGGGCTAATATTGGCGAAGCACTTTGAACAGTGTTAGGTGTCATTATGAGCAACTAGGTATGTGCTGTTTTTTTTTTTTTAAATCAGTTTCAATTGTACAGTGGTGATATGATGCACTCCAGTTGCATTGCGGAGGTCTCTTGTGCTGGAGCTCTTCCTGAATCCCACCCCACCTCCTTCAGTTGCTGACAATGGCATCAAAAGGATGTCCCCCTTCCCACAGAAGGATGATTTGAAGGACCACCCTCTTTGCCTTTGCACCAGATCTGGATTAGAATCTGAATTCGACCATTTCATTTGCTGTGTGGTCTTCTGCAAGCTATTTCATCTCTGTTTGGAGGGTCTAAACTTTAATATTCTTTTTTTTTTAAAGACCTTGTATTCTTAAAAAAAAAAAAGACCTTGTATTCTTATCAGAAATCTATCCCTTAGTGTTTGAAATATGATTGTGGCATTTTTAAAAAGATTCTTAGCAGTAAAATAGAATTTAGTAGGTTGTAGAGATGCCCTGTTTGGGCAACACAGAAAGGGAACATAGAGTTAATGTGTAAATTCTGAGAGTTCCAGACCCTGATGGGTGTATGGGGAGAACTTAATCAAGAGGATTTTTTTTTTAAATGTTTTTTCTTTATTTATTTATGATAGTCACAGAGAGAGAGAGAGAGAGAGAGAGAGAGAGAGAGAGGCAGAGACACAGGCAGAGGGAGAAGCAGGCTCCATGCACCGGGAGCCTGACGTGGGATTCGATCCCGGGTCTCCAGGATCGCGCCCTGGGCCAAAGGCAGGCGCCAAACCACTGCGCCACCCAGGGATCCCAATCAAGAGGATTTTAAGTACTGTGCTCTGTTTAGCAATCCAACCCATCAGAAAGACACTAGGAGACCCTCAGTGACAAGGTCCATAAGCAAGCAACTTCCTGGCAAAAAGGATTCAGTGTGAGCCAGTGAAAAAATAGTGCTCAATGTCTTAGCAAAAAGTTAAGAAAAAAGCTTAAAAAAAAAAAAAACACCAAAAACTGGCTGAATGTTTTAGGTAAAGCTAAATTTCAGGCAGATTAAGGATTGGCAGGTCCAGAGAGACCATGAGTGACAGGCAACCTTGATCAGAATCAAGGAGCAAACGAGCCATTATTGCAGAGATCAGTAAGGAAAGGAGATGCTAACATTCAGGCCCTGGAAAGCATCTTCTAAAGTTAATTGTGACAGACCAGGTTCCAGCCTAGCACCATCAGGTAGCATAGGGGCACAGAAAGTGCAGAGAATGAGAGTCAGACAGATGTGGTTTTCAATACTGCTTTTACTTCTGGCTAGCTGCTGGCCTAGGGAAATTGCATTTGTCCTCTCAGCCTGTTTCCCGATCTGCAAAACAAGGAATTAACTACCTGCTAGATAGGCATAACTTCCTGGTGACAATGAAAAATATGTAGTCAGTAAAGCTGGGAAGAAAAAAAAATGTGTAAACATGGAACAGAAAAAGAGACCCTAGAAATACCACAAGATAGTCAACTGATCGTTGACAAAGGAGGAAAAGCAATTCATTGGAGAAAGGATGTCTTTTTAACAAATGGTGCTCAAACGACTGGGCATCCATATGCAAAAACAAAAACAAAAACAAAAAACAAACTCTAGATGCAGATCTTATACCTTTCACAAAAATTAACTCAAAGTAAATCATAGACCTAAATATAAAATGCAAAATGAAATGAAAAACATGCTAGGAGATAAGAGAAGAAAATCTAAGTAGTTTTGAGGTTTAGTGGTGACTTTTTTTTAAGATTTATTTATTTATTTATGATAGACACAGAGAGAGAGAGAGAGAGAGAGAGAGAGAGGCAGAGACACAGGAGGAGGGAGAAGCAGGCTCCATGCCGGGTGCCCGACGAGGGACTCCATCCTGGGACTCCAGGATCGCGTCCTGGGCCAAAGGCAGGCGCTAAACCGCTGAACCACCCAGGGATCCCCCAGTGATGACTTTTTAAATATAATGCCAAAAGCACAATCCACAAAAGAAAAAATTGATTAAGTTGCACTTCATAAAAATTAAAACCCTCTACTCTATAAAAGACACTGTTGGGCAGCCCAGGTGGCACAGTGGTTTGGTGCTGCAGCCTAGGGTGTGATCCTGGAGACCCAGGATCGAGTCCCACGTCGGGATCCCTACGTGGATCCTGCTTCTTCCTCTGTCTGTGTCTCTGCCTCTCTCTCTCTCTCTCTCTCTCTCTCTCTCTCTCTCTCTCTCGTCTCTATGAATAAATAAATAAAATCTAAAAAAAAAGACACTGTTAAAGAGAATGAAGAGATAAATCATGGACTAGGAGAAAATCTTTACAAAACACATACCTAAAAAAAAAAAAAAACACATACCTAATAAAATACTGGCACTGCAGATATATGAAGTACTCTCAAAACCCAGCAATGAGAAAACAACCCAATTTTTTAAATGGGCAAAAGACCTGAATAGACACCTCATTGAGGAAGATACACAGATGGCAAATAAGCATATGAAAAGATACTTAACATCATATGTTGTTAGGGAACAGCAAATTAAAATAATGAGATACCACCGTACACCCATTGAATAGCTAAAACCCCAAACACCCATACCACCAAATGCTGGCCAGGATATGAAGCAATTGGAACTCTCATTCATTAGTGGTAGGAATGCAAAATGGTACAGCTACTCTGGAAAACACTTTAGCAATTTCTCACAAAACAAAACGTAGTCCTACCATATAGACCAGTAATTACATTCCTTGGTATTTACCCAAATTAGTTGTGTCCACACAAAAACTTATATACGAATGTTTCTGCCAGCTTTAATCATAATTGCCAAAACTTGGAAGCAACTAAGATATCTTTCAATAAGTGACTGGACAAATAAACTATGATACATCTAGTCAAAGGAATACTGCTTCTTAATAAAAAGAAATGAACTATCAAGCCATGAAAAGACATGGAGGAGTGTTACATGAATATTGCTAAGTGAAAGAAGCCAGTTTGAAGAAGCAACACACTATATGATTTGAACTTCTAGAAAAAGCAAAATTATAGAGAAATAAAAAGATCAATAGTTTCCAAGGGCTTATATAGGGAAGAAGAGGGAGGGATGAAGAGATGGAGTACAGGGTATTTTTAGGGCAACGAAACTACTTTAAGTGATACTGCAATGGTGGTTACATGTCATTATACACATTTGTCAAAACCCATAGAGTGTACAACACAAAAAGTAAACCTTAATATAAACTATAGAATTCAGATAATAATAAAAGTTCAATATTGGCTCTTCAACTATAGCAAATGTACTACACTAATTCAAGATGTTAATAATAGGGGAACTGAGTGTGGGGAAAGGGAGTATATAGAAACTCTCCGTATACTCCCCTCAATTTTTTTGTAAAACTAAAACTGTGGTTTTTATGGTATTTATACAGAAATAATATATATAGTGTGTATATAAAGATACATTTAAATAAATACTGTATGTTTTATATAGTATTACGCTATGTAATATGGTTATATATAAAGCTATGTATTATATGTATAATCAGACTCTACAGTTGAACTTGAACAAAATAGGGGCTAGGGCATCAAATTCCCTCCTCCCTCACTCCAGCCCACTCAACCCCCATGCAGTCAAAAATTTGTATATAGCTTTTGGCTCCCATAAAACTTAACTACTAATAGCATACAACTGACTGGAATTCTTATGGATAACATAAACAGTCAATTAGCATATGTTTTCTATGTTATATATATTATATACTACATTCTTACAATAAAGTAACCTAGAGAAAAAACGTTAAGAAAATCATAAGGAAGAGGACATACATGACAATGCTGTACTATAAAAAAAATTCACTCATATGTGGACCTGTACTCTTCAAACCTGTGTTGTTGAAGGATCAACTGT